TTGCAGATCAAAGATGAACAAGACATTGCTGACACTTCTCACTGTGGTCACTGACACTGACACTCCTGGTGCAGTCCACTTAAGCCAAAGTGAAAGGTGGCTGTGGATGGACTTGTCTGTTTCTCTGGGGGTGGTGATGTAACAGCGGATAAGACACATGCCTTTGTTGTGAGAGACACGGGTTTAATTCCAGATTGTGACACGTTCACCAATGTGTCCCTGAGAAAATGTGGCTACTTCTCAGCTGATTTATTACCTCAGTAAACACTTTCCTAATGAGTTTATGGTCTCAGTCGCTAGTCGTCTTCAACACAGCATGATGTTCATTTAGTAAATTATGGTCCAATTTAGAGAAAAAATATACCAGAAAGCAGGGGAGGCTTTAGGGTGGGGCTACCTTGTGATTGCTAAGTCGCTATGTGTGACCCAAATATGGTACCCCATGGATGTTCAGTACACCTCTTTTCTCTCAGCTGGACAGGTAGGCTGGAATGAAATACAGCTGCTCCTTACTTTCTATAAATTGAACTAAAAGACGTTCTGTTAGCTTCCTGCTCAGCTTCCATTCTGAAAGGGAGATGTTTGTTAACCTGCTTCACTTCTCCAGCCGTTTGGGAACAGACTTTTGTTGGTCTGTAGAAGCTGAAGCATTTATTACCTGACACAGAGAATATTTACCTCCTCTGAGATTCACCATCACTTTCTGTCACTCGGACCTCCAGATTAGCTGCTCTGATAACAGCACCTGTCAGGTAGACGTCCTGCAGGGTTTCCGCGGTTTCCGCAGTCTTAAAAAGTCTAAAATAAAAAAAAAGGCCTTAAAAAGTCTTAAATTCGCTGAAGTTTGTGTTGTAGGTCTTAAATAATTTTAAACGGGTATTAATTTTCCAACGTCCATGTAACGCTACCTCTAATGCCTATTGAAATGACCCCGCAGCGCTCAAGAATGTTTTTTCCTCCCCTGGTGGTGTAGTTCTTTCTGTCTCTGGTCCAAATCAGTTTAAATATAATTCGCTGTATTACGACTACAAAGACCAACAGGCAGCTTTCGTGTTATTGCCGCAAGTCTCTTTCGGATTGTACCACAGATATAAAACGGATTTATTCTTCAGCTATGGGGAAGTGCAACCTTATCGGTTCTTGGATGGAAAAACAGATCTTAGGGCTAAAAAGCAGTCTCTAGCAACATATTTGAAGCCTACTGTTGCTGCTTAATGAATGAGCGCCGCTATTAAAATTTCACATGATCGTCAGTGATTTTCAGTAAATTACAGTAACACTCAACGCATGGCTGCCTCCCTCTCCTCGTTCAAAGGATGAGCGAATGTGAGCGGCAGAAAGTGACGGTGAAAGTTAGCCCTCCGCATAAGATCAGCATCAAGTTGTCAGATTACAGCTCTGTCCTCTGTTGTACATCTCAATAGTTACATTAAAAAGAAAGGACGGTGTTGACCACGGAGGAGCTGAGGTTAGTAACGTTAAAGCAAATTATGGGTGCAAACTAAAGTTAGTCCTTTTAAGCTAATGAGGGGATTATTCTTTTGGATTTTGATGTACAAATTAAATGCTTGTAAAAATACAGAAGGGAGGTGGTTCTCATGTTGCCTATTTATGTTAATTTCTACAAATGTATAAAGCAGTAAATTAAGACACAAAAGGAAAACATGGCTAATCCTATCTGTAATGATTCTGAGGTCATGTGTTTTCCTGCCATTATAAGGTGGTGAGGCTCAAAACAGATTGGTGCTGCGCAATGAATATAAAATCACTGTGGAGAGCATCAAAACTAACCAAATGAATTTTCCCAGATCTAATGGTTAGAATTCAACCCCAGTAGACTTATTTTGCAAGTTTAGCATTTGGGGTGTAGTTTATTATTGTCTCCCTGTCTTCTCCCCTGAGTTTATCCATCAGCAGTAGGTTAAGTTTTATAAGTGTCCAAAAAGACACCTCATGCCAGCTTGTTAATTACGTAGCTTATCAATGTCATCGTCCATTCCGGTGTTTCATTGTTGACATCATCCATCCATCCATCCATCATCAACCGCTTATCCTGTGTACAGGGTCGCGGGGGGGGCTGGAGCCTATCCCAGCTGACATTGGGCGAAAGGCGGGGTACACCCTGTACAGGTCGCCAGTCCATCGCAGGGTGTTGACATCATCCAATGCCAATTTTGTAGACCTCACTCAACCCTAATTTGAATATATTGATTTACTCTGCAAGTAATTTTGTGACTGCATTTCCTTTGTGCGTTTCTTTTTTTAAGTCGTGATATAGGTTTTAAATTTCATTCATAATGGTCTTAAAAAGTCCAGGTGAAACCTGCAGAAACCTTGATATTGTTCTACTACCTAGTCTGACTGACATAAAAATTTACATAGTGTGGGGCTTCTTATTTTAAACAATCTTGATTAGCTATCTTTATTTGCTTATGATTCCATAAAACTCCACATTTAAAGCTCCCTTTTATATTAAGTAGAAGTGCTGCTGATGGAATAAAATTATGCATAGCTTTTTCCACAAAACACAGTAAAGTCAGCAGTAAAAGGAAATTTTATTTAGCTCAAGAGATTCAAGTTATTATCAATTAACACCAAAAAATCTCATTAACAATCTGGAAATTGATAATGTTCAACATTATTGCAAAAAAGAATGAAAACAAATTGATTATCAAAATTTTTGTCTATTCAGCTTTATGCAAGATGTGCCTTATGCAAGATGTGTCTGTTAAATGTAGAAATTACGGATTAAGGTTTTGATGCTAATAAATGGAACTTTAATTGTAATAATGGAGTTCATTCGTATTTTTCACTTTCTGAAAAGGGGCATTTTGTAAATTTCAAGTTGACGAGTTTCCATTAGTATTTGACTCTATCACAATAAATTTGTTTTGAGTAGATTTCCCTCAGCATATAAGTTGTGCACAATTACATTTATTGAGTAAAGAATAAGTGTAATGTAATGTTAATAAGCATCAGTGAATCGGTGTAATTTATTTATTCTTTTTAATTGTATTATTTTTAAGTTAAGGTTTACTCAAAAATATTATTACCACTACTATAAAAGTTTGAGGTAATCAGTTTCCACAAATTTTTTTGAGTAATATTAACTTACTTGGGTTTACAGTGTAGGGATCTTCACAACCAGTAGACTATGGAGAGGAAGAATGATTACAGGGATCAAAGGAAAAAAGAAGTGAAAAAAATATAAACCTGTGCTTTAAAAGGTAAACATGGCTTTGAGCAATGTAGTTGAAATACGCTACAGTTCTGTTTTTTGTTTTTGTTTTTGAGTCTCAGGATTTTGCAGTGACTCCTTTTCTGTCAAAGAGACAGTGCAGTGAATTCTGAGTCAGACAAGACCAGCCTCTAATTATTGTCTTTCTGCAGACTTTTCTGAGCCATCTTGAGTGTTTAAATGCCAAAACATAGTGAGGAGAAATAACAAAGGGCACGGTTTAAAAGTTATTTCTAGAGTCACTTAAAGAAGTTTTCTTTTAACCTTTATACTCACAGTCTATAAACTAAATAGTCTTCTTTTAATAAATATTAATGTCATAAGTTAATTCTGTTTTGATTTCGGCAATGCATTCACAGTAAGTTTGCGCTTGTGCTCTTACAGTTACCTGAAGTCTTTTGTAAAAAAAAAAGAAAAAAAAAAGTAACTTTCACTTTGAGATGTGTTTGGCTTTTATGTAAGATCTTCACCTCAGTAACAATTGACAACAGTAAACTACTTTTGTTAAGTATGATATTTAAGTATTAAATATTAGTATTTTATCCATGACTGGTTGGCTGATGCCCTACGATGGACTGGCGTACCCCGCCTTTCGCCCGATGCCAGCTGGGATAGGCTCCAGCCCCCCGCGACCCTGTACGCAGGATAAGCGGTTGACGATGGATGGATGGATGGTTGGCTGATAATGACACTGTCAAAACTTTACATGCCAAGGACCATAAATAGATTACATTTACCTGACGCTTTTATCCAAAGCAACTTACAATTGCTATGCATGTCAGAGGTCACACGCCTCTGGAGCAACTAGGGGTTAAGTGTCTTGCTCAGGGACACAATGGTGGATGCCTCACAGTGGGAATTGAACCTAGGTCTCCCACACCAAAGGCAAGCATCCTATCTATGCGCCATCACCACCTCCTGATAACCATCTAATAAGATTTTACTCATTTTTATTCATTTATTGTACGACACAGTGTAACAAATTAGGATAATGTTTAGAGGCAAAACCTATGAAGGAAACAGCTGTTATAATCTCAATGCTGAACTGAAATCGTGGAAAAATATTGGCATTATATAGTGCTAAAATAATTAATTTATTAATAATATAGTAAATCGGCCCGAAAAAGAAATTTATACAAATTTTGATAACTGATTAATCATTTAAGTCTTTTATTAATCAAAAATGACCAACATCTGCTGGTTCCAGCTTGCTAAATGTGTTTTCTCTCTTCATATCATTGTAAATACGTGATACATATAACAATACAGGTTACATTTTATGGACCAAACAATCCATTAACCTGAAAAGAAGAAAGACAGAGTAAGTGATATTGAAAATATGTTTTAGTTTTAGCCATACATTTTATAATTCAAAAATAAAATTAAACTATTCCTCATTTAGCTGGTCACCCTGTGGAAGCATCACTCAGTTGCAGTGTTCAGTTACAGTGAACCTCTGTCAACATTTGACCTGATCTAGGAGGTAATCTTCTTGTTTTACTGTTATATTTCACTTAGTAGTAAAAACAAGAATTTAAAACTACCACACATGTATCAACATGACTATTGGGCTTTGTGTGGAGTGGGTATCTTTACAGAACTTAACACTGGAGGGTGCTGTTGTATAAAATCTGCAAGCTTGGTCATTGCACAATCTGACTGCTCACTCTCCTGTATTACATCCCTGTAGTATGAGTGCAGTGCGTTTATAAAAAACACATTTCAGTTAAAAAAGTGAGGCTCGTAGCACCAAACACTGGATAATTGTCTTTTATTAAGCATCAATCAGTAAAAGGAGAAAATTGCTTTGAAATTGCTGATCATAGACATTTTCCTATAGCGTCTTAGAGGATATTTACAAGTTCTGTGTTTCAAAGTTTAATTGTGCTACATGCGTTGAACAACAGGAAACCACAAAGATCATATTCTACAAAGTCAACTGGTACAAAGTATGAAACTTTACAAAACAAACATTTCCCCAGACACGGCAAGGTACAGACCTGTGTGAGCTGAACAGAGGTGATTTATTCCCTGAAGAAGGGGAAAGATTCTGAAAATTTAATTATGTGTCTGCATTTGGCTTAATCCTCTAGTGTGGCGTATTGTGCTTAAAGACATTGATACTTAGGGACATTATACCTTGTGCTTTTGAAAAATGTGTTTGAACCAATGTGTACTTTTGTATGTTGACATTTATATTTGCATGGTCTCTAGACAGGAAAGGATTTAATACAGAAAAATAATAAAGTGCAGTTCAGAAAACAAGAAAAAAAATATATAAAAAGCAATAAGGACATTGTTGACATTCATCCAACAGAGGAGTAAGAGTAATATGGCTATGGCTTGTTAGGAAATCCACTATAATGAGCGGCCAAACCAAAGAGTTATTAGTGTTTAGTGTGTGTGTCTGACGGTTGTGTGATGAATGTTAATGAACCGTCATTCTTCACTAAGACACCCGCCCTTTTCATTTAGTCTTTTCTTCTGTGCCTTGAGGAGTGAAAAGTCATATGACCACTTGTCAGTTTGACATTTTTATTTATACAAGTCAGTGTTAAGGGCTGGGCTGCAACAAATCCCACACACCAGTGATTGTTTGTATAGTTTACTGTAAGCCTCCGTGGCCTCCCTTTTGCCAGACTCTTTTGTTACAACGTTTGTTCCTCAGAGCTCCACGGCACCATCTGACCAAAGACACTGCTGTAACTGAGCCTTTCTTGCTGTCCCGGGCCCTCCTTCTGCATGCCCGGGATGATATTTTTAGAATTACAGAAATGAACACATCCTCAAAAGGATGCCTCAAGCCATTGCCATTTTTGCACTGTCATTCTGCACAAAAGACTCAAGCACTAGGCCGATCTCGTAATGGAAAAAACACGAGTGCCGTGTGCATAATGTGGCTACGCAACTTAGATTAAGTTGCGTAGCCACATTATGCACACTCAATGACAGACTATGATGGCAATTGTCCTGTCTGAAGGAATGCTTTAACCTCTAAAGTGCAGTGAACAGCTCATGAGTAAGGTTTTGAAAGATCTTCTTGTCTGTGTTATTGCGTTATTTGAGGCTGAAGTTGGAGATGAAGAGAAGGAGCGGCGTGCTACAGCCATCATTAGAGATGTCAGTTGTTACCAGACCGGCAGCTCTGCTGCACAGCTCTCTCTGTCACACATAGCTTGTTCCTATTCCATTCACATTTCACACTCACTCCCTCCACGAGAGTAGTTAGCTGAAGTGAACATACACATCATACACAGAAGCAACAGCCCCTTAGTTTCTGCTGTGCTCATGTTAATATGAAACAGAGTGAAATATGGGCATGATGTGACAGTCTGACTGAAAGCCCCACAATCCAGTTTTCTGTTCAAATCATGTCTTCAGGCTTCACCAGACTGAGACCACAGGTGAGGAGGGAGAATTAGAAGAATGATTGATGAATGAATGAATGCGTGAACAGAATGTAAACAGTACTATAGTCTTTAAGGACTGTGGACAAATTAGACTACTTCCTTGCATCAGATGTGAGCCATCCAGTCATCTTAACCATCACCATGGAAACAGTGGTCGTTCACTCTGCCGAGTGAGTCTGCACCTGTTTGTTTTTGTGGATTGGCCCTTTTTCATGTAAACGTCTGGTGCATTTAAGTGCAAGTGCTCAGGAAAGACCTTAGAGGGAGGGCTATGGATATCTAATATACCTGATTCTCTGTGTGTTTATTTCCTGTACAGTTTTGTTTAATTGTCATTCGGGCTCCATTAGCCAGGGCAGAGCGACAGATTCAGCGTGCGGGGCAGGCGTTAGTTCGAAAGCAAAGGCACGGAAATATCTAACTACCAAACATTGTAAATACTTTTTTCACTACTCAAACTAGATGCTTTGCAGCATGCTTGCATGATATGTTGTAAAGTTCATAGCCTAATGTTATAAAACCATGCTTGTTATTATTAACGTAACAAACGGCATGAGAACACCAGATGATCAACACCCAGAGTGGTCATATGTTTGGAGTCAATTTGGAGTCAGGTGCGTACAGAAAAGCAGGATGCAGGATATTTGGTTGAACTAAAGTGGTCTACAGAAACACAAGGTATAGGTCTACCTCCATGCTGTTTGTGTGCCTGAGAGGCGAGCTGTTTGTTGCTTCAAGGTGGCTTTATGTTTGTAAGAGATGTCATGTGAACTCAGATGAGTATAATGTTTTGGATTTCTGGAGGCGAACTACTTGCGACGATCCACAGAGTGTAAATAATCCAATTAGCTTTAGAAATGGATTTAAAATAAAGTGCTGTGTTGCCTCTTCATTTTCTCCCTCTATTCTTTGCATTCTCCGTGAATAGCTTTCTCCTTCAGATCCCAGTCCTCTTGTCTGTGCACTATCCAGCTTACATGTTCGTACCGAATGAGCACCTGAAATATGCCAAAATCTGCTGTTTGGAAAAGGAATGCTTACATTTCTAACATATTGAGATAAAACACTAAAACGTACTATCATCTGTGTGAGTTATCAGAAAGAACAATTCTTTGGTTCTTCACATTGCACAAAGGAGAGAGGGACAGACATTTACAGGGAGACAGTAGCAAACAATACAAATGTTTCTACTACAGTATATCATCTAATAAATGCAACTCCATCAAAATAATGCAATACATATATTGAAATGCAAAACTATGAGATTAGCACAATATATTTGTCTAACAGTTCTTTTAGAAAATATCTTAAAAATATAAATTATTTAGATTCTTTACCTTGTACAATAAATGTTTTTTTGTAATATTCTACATTTGTAGTTGTACAATATTCACACTCCTACAAAACTGGAGGTTCAACATAGAAAATCTCTGTGATTTTCAGTGCTGTCTTTCCAGCCATGGTGATGCTCATGAGTCATTTTATGTTATTTTTAAGTTCAGATTATCAGATACAATAGGAATGATAGCTCCTCCGAAACACCTTTGAGAAAGTTTTGAAATGACAAAAGACTTGATTTTCTCCAGATTCAAAATGAACTCCAATTACACCAATCTGAGGGACACACAGAGATATTTAGAAACAAGCAAAAATAAGTAAATGAACAAGAATAAAGAAAAAAATATCATGTTAAGGTGCTCTCTCTTGCCAGCAGTCGGGCACAATGGGAACAAGAAGGAAAATCGATGGATGCAGCCTCACAGTGTCCCTTTTGTCGAAATGTATTTTGTGCAGTAAAAAAAAAATCGACGAGCAAGACACTAAACTCTGAACGGAAACAAACTGATAGACTTGATTCTCCTCAAGTTCACACTTGAGACAAGGGACCAAGAACACTACATAATAATAAATATACTGTACATGAAAGATAATCATTGCATAAACTTATATATGTATGTGTTGTCTCTCTTTCTCACTAATACAAAAACAAACATAAAACATGGGTGACAACATTAACTAAGGCCAGTTTTGAGGAAGGAAGGTAAAGGAAGCAAACTATACATTTTCCCAACACACTTGGTCCGTTGTAATGCCATAATAATACATGTATAACCATAATTTAAAGAAAAATGTAAGTTTCCCCTTCACACTACAACGTAGTTCCTTGAACTATCTCAGTTGAATGAGTTTTCCAGTGTCACTGCCATGTTTCAATGCCCTCTGTGGTTTGCTACTGAGTGGACAGCTTTTGCTATAGTGGCTTTTACGTAGTATCCTGGGATGTCAGAAAAATAGGTTTTTGTTTATGAAAACGATATTCTGTACTCTTACAACCAGGCTGTGATTATTAGATGATATTCTGGGCAAGTATCAATGTTCATGTATAAATAGTAAAAGTTATCAGACAGGTGTTCCTTGCCCTTTTTAAAACCTCTTAGATCAGAGTTCGCTGTTAATTAATTTATTCAGGAGTCCTTGGTAGGAAACAAGAGAGCAAAACACAAACATCTTCCCCATTGTCCACAAGGATTCTATTGTCATGGGAGAAGCATTTTGCATTATAGTTCTTTAAATATTCCTGAAAATGTTTTCAGTGACTTTCATATTTTTGGGAAGTTCAGTTTAGTTCACTGTGCTTCTTTTTGTCCCTTACTTCCTCCTCTCCTGTATGTTTGTGCTGTGGTCTCTCACTTATTCTAACTTTAAGCGTTAGGGTGACTCTTCGCTCCCTGAAGTGGCATGAGCTCCTGAACCACATGGTTCTCCTGCCCTTCTAGCGGCAGTGTGCTGTTCCCGAGCTTCCTCTGCAGGCCCCCCATGTGGTTGGACCCTTGCTGGAAGCTGGAGTGATGGCCAGCTTTGGGGCTGGCTTTTTCCAGAAGTCTTTGGGAAGGGTTGGTGCGTGAACCATCATTCAGGTGCTCCTCCTCATCTGTGTCGGCATCAATGAATTTATTGATGGACGCATCGTGGAACGTGAAGATGACGGGCGGTAAATTCTCCGGACTCTTGCTGGGTGTCCTGTTACTGGCAGTTGTGTAGATAGACACCTCAGGACTCTGGACTGACGAGCTGTCTGAGAAGGCCCCTGTCCCTGAATCCTCCCGATCTCTGAAGTTGACCTTGAGAGAGCGGCTTTTGAGTGGCTTGTTCAAATGTAGACCCTTGGAGCTGTCAGAACCGGGCTCGGTGCCTGGTCCTGTCAGGGGTGTGGTGGTGCCCTGGGATCCTTCATGCTCATTCTCCATGGTGGGCTCGAGGCTGGGGTTGGTGCTGAACCTCCCTATCATGTTGCTGACAGGGCTGTGGGAAAAGCGAGAGCTCTCAGGAAAGTCAGTGGCGCAGCTGATGAAGCTGTCAAGGCTGGACATGCTCCTCATGTCTGTAACTGCCTCTGCTGTGCTTAAGATAGCTTCAGTGGGGATGTTTCCCATCTCAAATTCAGCTCTCTGCCTGACTGCTTTGGGCAGTGGCCCTTTTTCATTGCTGTTGACGTTGGGTTGTGACTGGGCTATGGCCATCTTATTGTACATCTCCTCCAGTTTCTGTGCGCTGAGATGTTGAGGGCTACTAGAAGGCTTGGCCTGCTCTTGGTAGCTTGATTCGAGAGTCTTAGTGGGGTTGCTGGGGCTCATCTGTGACTTGAGTTTGGGTGTCCCTTTCAGTTGAGTTGGAGACACATTATTATCATGCACCTTCTTTTTTTCTTCAGTATTTTCCACCATTACATCCATGAGCTCTACACTGCGGCCAAATGTTTCTTTAATGTTCATAGAGACAATGCTACCATTTCTCTTAGCCCTCTCTAGAGCCTCCCTTCTTTTGATGGCTTTCTCCTGCCTCTTTTGTTCTTTGTAGAACTCAGAGAAGTTATTCACTATGATTGGGATAGGCAGGGCTATCACCAGTACTCCAGCGATGCAGCACAAACCTCCAACTATCTTTCCCAGTAGAGTTTTTGGGTAGATATCACCATAGCCAACTGTTGTCATAGTAATGGTAGCCCACCAAAAGGAAGCTGGAATGCTTTTGAACTTGGTGTCCTCTTCATCCTTTTCTGCAAAGAAGACCAGACTGGAGAATATCATGATGCCCATGGCCAAAAAAAGAATGAGCAGGCCCAGCTCATTATAGCTCCTCCTTAGAGTGAAGCCCAGAGACTGAAGACCTGTGGAGTGACGAGCCAGCTTCAGAATACGCAGGATCCGCATGATCCGGAAAATCTGAACCACTCGACGGACGTTCTGAAATTGCAGCACACTCTTGTTGGATTCTGTCAGAAAGATGGTGACGTAGTAGGGCAGGATGGCCAGCAGGTCGATAATATTCAGAGGACCCTTAAAGAACTTCCACTTGTTGGGGGAGGAGAGGAAGCGAAGCAGGTACTCCATGGTAAACCAGGCAATACATACAGCTTCCACATGGGCCAGTTGTGGGTTGTCTGTAGGGTGACCAAACTCATCTGTGTCCTGCAGCTCTGGAAGGGTGTTCAGAGACAAGGCAATGGTTGACAACACAATGAAGAGGATGGAGATAATTGCCAGGATCTGGAAAACACAGAAGAAAACAACAGTGAAAAATACAGTTCTATACACACAATGCCTGGGGAATGTACCCTAGTGCTGTACACCCATCTTGTGCCATTTTCCAGGGATAGTAGTGTCGGTTGGTCCACTACGGATATAAGTCCGGACTGAAATATGTCGACAATTATTCGATGGATTATCATGAAATTTTGTGTAATCATTCATGGTTTCCATAGGATGAATACTGCTGACTTTTCCCCAGCGCCACCATAAGGTTAACCTTTGTGGATTTAAGAGAAATGTCTCGACAACTGTTGGGTCAATTGCATGGAAATTTGGTAAATTCATGTCCCCCTAAGAATGTATCATAATAATGTGAACCTCTAACGTTTCATCTAGCGCCATCATCAGCTTAAAATGTTCATTTGTCCTTTGGTTCCAAAAACCTGCAAATAGTGTTGACATCCCCATCTGCCTCAGTTGTACTTTGTGTTAAGTGCTAATTAGCATATGTTAGCATTCTAACACGCTAAACTAAGATGGTGAACAGGATAAACATTTTACTGACTGAACATCAGAATTCTAACATTTTTATTGTATGCATGCTAACATTAGCATTTAGCTCAAAGCATCGCTGTGCCTAAATACAACCTCACAGAGCTATTTGTCTTGTTTGTAAGTCTGTAGTTTATGAAGGTCTCTTGAGGGTCACTTTGAAAAAATTCTTACTTTATAAAGTTTATTGATGTGTTGGTGAGGTGACAAACAAGCTGCAAATGTTTGATCATCAGTACATCACTACACTAGTGATGGTCGACTGAACTGAAATTATTTAAAGACTTAAAGATGAAAAGGCTGCAATGAATATGCAATAAGCCATCTGTTTTCCGTTTGTGCAAAGGTTCCTGTAACCTGTAGTTGGCTTCACACTTCAATGCTAATTTTGAAAATGATCACAATAATACTCTCAACAAACAAGCAAGAGTAGATCTGGACAGTATTTCTACAGCATGCATCACAGATCATGCATTTGAGGGAATCATTTTGCCTCTTTATAATATGCAATGTTGAAGGTTGAATGCGACTGTGGATAACAAGTGGAGCTAAATTTAGCAGCTGACTGCCCCTGAACTACATGCTGAAAGTTAAAACGCTCCACCAAAGTGAAATAGTGCTTTAACAATGTCAGTTGAAGAAGGTTAGTCCCGTGAGAAACTTTATTTCAACTTGTCAAACCGGTGTGGTTCCATTTGTGACACCAAATTGCATTTCAGAGCTGGCTAAAAGTTCCACCAACAAATGATGGCATTTTCTGATGATATTAGTTCACGGCTCATTTAGCTTTCTGGCTACTTTCTCCAAAGTATTCATAAAATGTCATGTCAGCATTTCAAAAGAAATAGGGTCAGAGCTAATGTGATCTCTGGGGTGGATGGGTTTTTTTCTCCTCAAGTCTTGATAGATGCATTACAGAGACAGACAGTGAAGGAGGGAGAGAGTTTGAGATTGTATTGATAAATTTTTTAAAACCACTGCCACACTTGTTCTTAGCCACCCATCTCTTCTATTCTTTAATGCCCAATGCTACAAGAAAACCACAGTGTATTACTTGTTTTACGAAGCACACCATGCTTGGTCAGTAAGTCTGCCTGACAGACTACTGGAGACCTCTGAAGCATTGAGCGACCTACTAATAATATAATCTGCTGAGTGCAATAGGGTTTGGTTATAGTGCCGGGGATTAAGAGGGCTGCACAGTTGTGGGTGTGTAAGTGTGCCACACCTATTATTTCTGTCCCAGAGTCAATGTGAAATCCAACACAAGGTCACTGTGGAGGCTGTGTCTCAAGCCAGTGGTGAGCAGGATTATACCTTGTCACCAATCTGCGGCCATAAGCTCTAATTAATCTTGACAGGTGACTGCTTGTACACCTACCTTGGCCTTTGAGGAGAGAGGGACTAAAAACAAAGAAGCCCTGCTGGGCTGGATGTGAGACAGGGTAAAGACTAGAGTAAAGGTATTTCAACTTCATCAACCAAATAGTTCAGCGGTGCGAGTGAATTAAAGGGCAGACAAAAATGTTTAACTCAGATCAGAGCCTTCCTGAAATAGCCTGCCCCCTGGTCTGGATACCAAGAGACCCAAGTGATGGATGAAAACTCTCAAACACATCCCATTAGTGGTCTTGTTACTGAATAATCACGCCCAAGAGAATAAAACAACCAATATCAACATAAATTATCACAGTAACAGACAAAAGGATGTGGAGGTCAGAAGCCCCAAGGTCTTGTGAGGTTCGAAAAGGTAATTTTACCATATGTGCATTGATTTAGCAACAACATTTCAAAAGACAGAGACAAGAGCTGAGGGGCACTGGATACTGAGCCCCAGTTCTAAAATGAACCGTCCAGTGGAAACCACACTCATCAGATCAAGACTAATCTAGCTTGATGCGCTGACCAGGCCTGAGCATCGCTAATGAATCATGTTGATTTCCAAAAACTGCTTTGAAACTGAACCTAGGTGTGTCGTGTGTGAAGAACAACTGAAGCAAGACCAGCTCCAGCTCCCAACAGATTCTCTCTCTTACTCACCTTTCCCCCTCCCACCCGGGCAGTATGCCCACCAGGGTCAGCCAGAGAGGAATTATAGGGCTGTGATCTCACCACAGAGGTGAAGATAGAGCGAGAGAAAGAAGTGTCTACTGAGGACACGTAGCACAGTGACTAATCTGTGACACAGAGGGAATGAGGCAAATCCAGTCTGTGCTTTGCTGCAGAAACTTTTGAGTTTAATTGGTTAGGCAATGTGGTGTGAGCATTTAGGTATGATTTGTGAGTGCAGGGGTGATGCTGTTTCAAAAATTAGGAAACTGAATATGAATATTTTTATGTAGCTGCCAGACTGAGCAGAGCAGAAAGAGAAGAACGGACAATTAGAGTAAAATGAATATTCTTCCAGTGCATATAAAAGGCACAGATGCACTGTTAGAGAAGGTTATGGTTAGTTATGTGTTACCTCATTAGCTCTTAATGACACTGCACTGAGGTCATAGGGACAGCCCATCCCACTTCCTGTTTGCATAAACAAAGGATGAATCTGATCAAGACTGCTGTTGCTTATGCACAACCCTGATGCACACTCATCTACACACACACGCACACACCTAGCTTATGGCTTAGCCCCAAGTCTCCCTTCCCCACAGGCTAGGAGGCAGGAGACTGCATATTTAATATTCTCCTGAAGTGCAAGCTGTCCTGTCCTGGAAAAGGTGTGTGTGTGAGTGGGTGCTCACTGGGCTGTGACGGACTGCAGAGCCAGACAGCTAGCCTAGTTTTCACACTGCTTTCACCACACAAGGTTAGTTCTGCTTCATGTGTGATCAAAGGAGGGCTGGACAGGGAAGGAGAGATTCTATAAACAAATAGCAGGGGGGGGTCCTCAGAGAGGCAGCGTCCCAACAGGATTAGGAGTTCAGCAGTTGCCTGGTGTGTAGCCAGGTTGCACTTGTTTCCCAGAAGTGAAAAACAAACCATTTCATGTTTTATGAGAGGTTTTCCCAGCTATGTTTCATGTCCTGCTCATCTCTCACAGACACATGATGGACAACGTATCTTATTTTGTGCTATCTGGATTCTTTATTCCTCTTGCAACACTGAATGTCTATCCATCCATCCATATATTCCATCGTCACTGCTTATTCTGCGTAGAGGGTCTCAGGGGGGCTGGAGCCAATCCCAGCTGGCATAGGGTGAGAGGTGAGGTACAACCTGGACAGGTCACCAGTCCATTGCAGAGTCACACATATACAAACAACCACTCACATCTAAGGGCAATTTGGAGTCACCATTTAAACTAGCCTGCATGGGAGAACATGCAAACTCCACACACAAAGGCCTGGGAAGGCCAAGGTTAAAACCCTGGACCTTCTTGCTATGAAGCGACAGTGCTAACAACTGCACCTGCAACACTAAATGTAAAAAGACGAATTATACTTTAAAATTATACTTCATGTATCTATCTTTGGATTATAAAATACTTTGCCACAGTTGGCTTAAAAGCTGGCTATAATAGGTTTGTAGTTGTCTTCATCATTATCAGTTATACATCCTACATTTTCACGATGGAAAACATTCACAATATGAATATAAACATTTTGAAAAATCCTTGGATCAAGTTCCACTCCTCAGCTGTCAATCTGTTTGCTGTGTATGTTGCAAACATGAACCACGTTCACGCTGCGCCTTAATGCTCAATACTGATATATTGCCCATATCAGATTTTTTTGATAGATTGCAATTTTTTAAATTTGCCCCATATCAGACTCCAGTGTGAACTGGCCACAGCCTGAAAGTGACCCGCATGCACAAAAGAATAATATGTTGTCACATGTAACATGCTGTTGTTCCAGGGTAAACATGAAGGCCACACAGTTTACCGTCTACGGTTGATTTCAGTTAAGTTTATGAGCAGTTGAGGACGAGGAGAAATGCTTTCCCCCGTGTTTCCTGTTAGCGCAGAATTGTGACGACTGTCGCTCCAGAATGACGTCAGAGTCACATGAGTCCTAATCTGATGGTCCAGACTGATGTTGCATTTCAAAAACTCCGACCCTTTGGGAAGTGGCCCAAATCAGAACTTAAAAAGATCAGATTCAGTCATTTGCTGTTCACACTGTGATGTGAGTCACTTATGAGTAAACAAATTCATCTGATTTGGGTCACTTTGTCCTGCAGTCTGAAAGCGGCTTTAGAGTCTACAGCCATGCTAGTGGCTCTGTGAGGTACAGCTGTGCTTTGAGCTAAATGCTAACGGCAGCATGCTAACATGCTTGCACTGACAATACTAACATGATGTTTAGCAGGTTTCACCATCTTTGTTTAGCGTGTTAGAAGGTGACATTTATGCTAATTAACACTAAATACAGTACAACTAGGGCTAATGGATATGTCATTAGTTTTGCAAGTATTTATTCATAAACCAAAGTATTTGAAAAAATAAAATGTTGACCCTAAGATAG